TCCTTGCCAGCTGCGCTGACCTGCCTGGGGCACCAGACTGGCTCTGCCCCAGGCACCGGAAAGGGCCTGCAGGGAGTCCCAGACTGGGAGCTTAAAGGGAATTAAATGATTTCTGTTTTCTGAATACTCTTTGCCCAAATTCCCCCATCCCCACCCCCAGCTTTACTGAAGAAAAATTGACCAAGGAAAATAGACAAAATTCTATTAATTTTTTAAGGTGTACAATGTGATGATATGATATATGTAAACATTGTGAAATGGTTACCACAATGATGTTCCAACACCTCTCACTTTACCTAGTTACCTTTATCTTGTGGTGAGAACACTTAAAATTTGCCCTTTTGGTGAATTTCAAGCATGTAATACAGTATTATTAATGAGTCATTATGCTGTTGGTCTGACCCCCAGAAATTATTTATCTTGTGACCAAAAGCTTGTGGCCCTGACCAGCATCTCTCCATTTGCCCCACTCGCAGTCCCTAGCAAGCACTGTTCTGCTCTCTGGTTCTGTGACTTCCACTTTTTTTAGGATTCACATGTACATGAGATCATAATGTATTTGTCTTTCTCCATCTGGCTTATTTCACTTAGCATAATGCCTTCAACACCCATTCATGTTGTCTCAAATGGTGGGATTTCTTTTTTATCACTGAGTAATATTCTACACATATATACTACAGAAAAATATATGTATAACATATTTTTTTTTTACTTGTTCCACTGGGTTGTTTCCATATCTTGGCTACTGTGAATAATGCTGCATTGCAGTAATGGGAGTGCATATATCTCTTGGAGATAATGATTTCACTTCCTTAAAATTTATACCCAGAAGTAAGATTGCTGGATCACATGGGAATTCAATTGATAATGTTTTTAAACTTAAAAAAAATTGTTTATTTTTAGAGGGGGGAAGGGAGGACGACAGAGAGGGAAACATTGACGTGAGAGAGAAACATCTAGTGGTTGCCTCACGCATGCCCCCAGTCGAAGACCCGGCCTGCAGCCCAGGCATGTGCCCTGCCCTGGAATTGAATTGGCAACTTTTTGGTTCACAAGATGATGCCCAATCTACTGAGTTACAACAGTCAGGGCTATTGTTAATTTTTTGAGGGACCTCTATACATTTTTCCTAGTGGTTGCACTAATTTACATTCCCAAGAGTATAAAAAGGTTCCCTTTTCTCCACATCCTTGCCGGTACTTATCTTTTCTCTTTTTGATGATAGCCATTCTGGACATGTGAAGTGATATCTCACTGTGGTTTTAATTTACATTTTCCTGATGATGAGTGATGCTGAGTAACTTTTCATGTACCTGTTGGCCATTTGTATGCCTTCTTTGGACAAATGCATATTTAAGTCTTTTGCCCATTTTTTTTACTCCTCCCCTGAGGATGTTTATTGATTTTTAGAGATAAGAGAGGAAGGGAGGGAAATATCAATATGAGAAAAACATTGATCAGTTGCCTTATATATGCCCTGGCTGGGAATTGAATCCACAACCTAGGTATGTGCCCTGACCAAGGACTGAACCTATAACATTTTGGTGCACAGGATGATGTTCCAACCAACTGAACTGCCAGGGCTGCCCATTTTTTAATCAGAATTTTTTTTTTGCTATTGAGTTGTGAGTTCCTTATATATTCTGGATATTAACTTCTTATTAGATATTGATTTGTAAATTTTGTCTCTCATTCCATAGCTTGCCTTTTCATTTTGTATTTTCTTTTTGCTGTGCAAAAGCTTGTTTAGTTCCCAATTTAAAGCAGTGGAAAATGCCCCTGAAGTGACCTCACCTCTCTGTGACCTTGAGCCAGGCGCTGCACCTCTCTGTCTTGATTCCTCCATGTGTCTGTGCCTGAGGTAGGGCGTGGACGGTGGCTTTTCAGCTTTTGAAACTATGGAACCCTTTACCCAACTGAAATTTTCTAAAATTATTTTAATAAAGGAATTTTACAAAATTCGACCTCTTTCCATATAAGTATGGGTGAGGAACCCAAAGTGCCCCTGATGCCATTCAAATCCCCTCCATCTGTCAGAACCCCAGCAGGCCTATGGGGTCACCTTCAGTCCAGCCTGACGGTGGGCTGACTGAGGCAGGAAGTCACTAACCCAAGGCCTGAAATGGAGGTAGTATTACCTTTGTCACCCCTGAATTCTGGAGAAAGCATATTTGAACAGTTTTAAGTCAACCAATCTAAAATGGCTTTATCCGTCATAAATTTGTAAGCACTGATCTTCCTTCTTTTTTATATGTGCTATTCCTTGTAGCTGGAGTATTTTTAGCTTTGCTGTTGCTCAATGATGTGCAAATGAATGTGGGTGATGAATTCTGTAAAGTATACCCACCTCAACGCCTCAGAACTGTGCCAGGCCTCCCACTGTCCTTCCTGGATTTCAAAGACCCTGCTTTTTGCCCCACCCCCACCTCTCTAACCCCTCTTCTACACGGACACTGTATTAATTTTCTTAATTTCTGTATTGATCAGGTCAGTCTCCAAAAAATAACCTCATTGTTTGAAAGCCCAAAACTCAGCTCCAGACTCTGACTTGCTGTAAGTTCCATGATTATTGAAGTTCGTATCAGATCCCATTTCCAACTTCCTTCTAATATATGTCCCTTTTCAGTAAGTCATTCTCTCCCAAATTTCTGCTTCTGAGCCTGTGATCATGCTCTTTGCTCACCTTTCTATTGTCCTTTCCCCCTGGAAGGCCCTATGTCCTTCATAGCTCACCCTTCAAGTCCTCTCATGCTGCCTCCTCTCACTCCCCTGGCACTTAGCCAGGAGGCAGCCTGTGTTGAGCAGGGATGCAACACTAGGACTACTAACCTGGAATTCTGCCACTTATTTGCAAGGTGCCCTTGGCTAAGCCCCCTTATTTCTATGGATCACAGTTTCCTCATCTCCCTTGTCTGCCTCACTGTGTGGCTGTAAGAATCAAAAGAAGTATTGTGTGTGAATGTGCTTAGCTAATTTAAGCACTCTGATTTTCAGGCTTTGTTCTTAAATAATAAGGCATTATTATGAGTTATTATTATCACTTATTGTACCCTGTAGCACTTGTTTTAATTATGAATCACACTCTGCCCTGCGCTCCCTGCACTCATCTCCTGTGTTATATCTAGTCTAACCAGGTCTTTAGGTTAAAAATTTTTCTTATATTTAAAATATAACCCCAGCAGAACTCCACAGTGGTTTTCACAGTGCTGACCCTAGTAGGTACTTCATATAGATGTGTTGAATAGGATTTGATCTCTGATATTTTCCAAGAACCTACTATTTTTTGGTGTGCTGGCAGTAGAGGGCCTTTAATTAAGAAGGGTACTTGAAATTCTGGCATTCTCCCAAAGCAAGATTGAAATTCTAAGGATTTTTAAATGGAAGACCTTGAAAGTAGGGCACATAAGTTGAGTGAGATATTTTCTTGAACATTTACTCAAGGTACAGCTCAGTTCTAGGACTAGTTGTAGTGAGTTTGGCAGTCAGGCCTCAGTATAGCCTTTTAAAAACCATGTAGATGTTCACCGTGAACAGGAAGAAAGTCCCAATGAGTGAGGATGCTGCCCAGACAATCAGAACTTCGCTGAGGAGGCTGCTTCAGTCTAACACAGCAAGAGAGCCCTTTGCTGGCTTCAGGAGATGACATATTTTAACAGTCCACATGACTTTGCCTCCAACTTTTTCCTAGTCTGATGTATTCCTGGAATACAAGTTTTTGTGTTAAGTTCTGTTCATTTTAAGAGTGAGTGCTATTAGTGCTTCTGTATGTGAATGGCAAATAGTTCTTCATGTACAAGAAGATTATTTCATTTTGGATCACAGGGAACCATACCGCTTTCTAGGTAACTAGAATGCCTTCAGAAAAATAAGGTAAACATGTGGTGATAAAGTCTCATTAGGTGCAGGGGCTTGCTGGGTACATGCACTGAAGACTTAATTTGGTATGGCTAAGCTGGTGATCAGTAAACTTGATCCCTCCCCGCTTCCTGAAGCTTGGCATATCTGTTGTATCTCATGCTTCTGGAAGAATTGAACTTTGTTGGAAGGGGGAAATTCTGAATCAAGAACTGGGAACAGAGGAGCCATGGAGTTTGGCGAAAATCCTGAAAGTACTGGTTTGTGATGTGGAAACAGAGCCTCCAGGTGATAGCCGATCAGTGTTGCAAATCTAAGTACTGGTCTGCAGCCATTAATTTGTTCTGGTGATATCTGGGAGAGTCTTATCCATGAATAAAGGATATATGCATTTTCCATGCAAAAAGTTTATTTGATTAACACTTTCTACGCTAAGAAAACCCCCAAAGATAAAGTTGGATTGATGATGCCAAAACGTGACACTTCTGATCCCATACGCAGCATAATGACCCACAAGAAGGAAGCCAAGTACATGGACTGCTATGTGGGTGCCGCTGTAGCTGCAGCATGTGGCCAGGTCTCCTTGCCTCTGTGCTGCCAGCCCCAGTGAACCCAAACCCAAAGCAGCTTCTGTGACAGCTCTCTCAGCCCCGCTTCATGAGCTACCATTGCCAAAAGGTGTGGAAAGTTAACCAAAGCCTAAGCAAGGGTGTCCATATTTTAATAGACAAACACCTAGGAGGCCTCATTAAGGCATTAAATTCCTGAGGTTCTGGAATTTTCCTTGAAGGATTTTATAGCCAAATCAAACTTGTTAGAACATTGATTATTGCTGCTGTTTCTGCTGTTTTCCTGGTAGAAGCTCCTGATTTAATGCCAGTTTGATGCTTTTCTACTGTACTTCAACCTCTATGTTTTTTTCTCTTTCTCATACAGACTTGCAACCTTTAACTCTTTTGAGTTAGTGGTAAAATATGTGCTAAGTACTAACCCATTTTTTCAGCGTCCCCAAGTATAGTATGTGATATGCACATTCCCTATGCAAGTATTTTCTTTCTTCTTGTTAAATAAACTCATTGCTTCCTAAAGTGCTCCTTAAAAGAAAATGCGGCTTTACTTTCCCATCTCCTTTCTTCGTTCCACAGTATGCATTCAGCAAACATTTGGGCCCTCTCTTTGTGCCAAACCCTTTCCCAGAGATGAAAGACTATGCCTGCCTTCGGGGAGCTTGCATATCACCAGACAGGTAGATAGACCCCTCCCTCCCTCTCATACGCATTCTTCTTCCCATTGAAGGATCTGATGTCCTGGTCTGAATGGGGCATGGGCTTCCGGAGCACTCAGGGATGAAAGACAAGGTGTGTTCAGTGGGCCGATGAAAGAGATCGAGAAAACTCAGTAGGGTTTGGTGCTCCAGACTTGAACAATCTCTCATTAATCTGGAAACAGAACAGCGGGTGATTGCCATCTCCTGACACCCAGCCCAGGGACAGGGAGTGAGCGCTCTGACCAGCCAGGCCACCCACAGGCAGAGCTGAGAAAACATCCCCAAAAAACATCCCTGATTAGAGCAATTAGAGCGACTCCCTGAGCCGGTTCATAATTTGCTTAATCACACTCACTTCATTGAACTATGGTTTTGGCTTCTGGGGTTTTGAGGTGGGGCAAAAAGCAAGTTTGGGGGAAGGAAAGGAAGCAATTAGAGAGAATTCACATTGATTCTCTTCTCTAGTCAGTTTGGAGTTGGCAGAAGAGGCAAATGACATCAGTTACCAGGTGTAAATATAAGGAGGCTGATTTGGAAGATGGATCCTTTGATGGTTGTTTGGGTGAGAATCATTGAGATCACAAAAGGAAGCAGCTGGTAAGTTCCGGAAACCTTTTTGTGTAAGCCCAGATTTTGAATAATGCACTAAGTGGAGTGGAGTGCTTATATTTAAATATTTATGTACAAATGGCTGTCATTTCTTAGTCTGCTCTGCCATGGTCCCATGACTTGATACAATTGTTTTTAAATGATCATTTTCTAGATGCTAGAAAGGCATCAAACAGAAGAAAATGAGGATCACAGCAAACAAAAAATTGCAGAATATAGCCATCATAGCCAACTATATTTAAGGAATTTTGAAAGCAGTATAGTGTAGGGAGGAAGATGGAAGAGTTTGGAACTGGAACTGAATTTAAATTCTATGCATGATTTTGCATAGAATTTGTGTAAAGACTAGCAGCTTTGTAGTCTAGGGTAAGTTACTTATCCTCCTTAAACCTGAACTCCTCATCTGTATAGTGGGGATAATAATAGTACCCACCTCACAGGTGTGTGCTGAGAATTGAATAAATTATTGCTTGTGAGTACCTGATACCCATAAGTTCTCAAGAAATGTTAGCTTAAAAAAGAGGTTATTCTGCATGAGGGCATGTAGAGAAAATCATTAACAAACCATTGGAAAGTTGTATCTCCAAGAGCAGGAACTGTGTTTTAGGGACTGGAGCTACAGCCATGAACAAAAAGATGCCAACATTTATAGTAGATGCTCCATAAATATTGATTGATCAACTGAATCAATGAATGTATGTTCTTTCCATTTAGAGTGTATTAGTTGGGTACTTTTTATGAAAACATTCAAAATATTTGTCTTCACTGAGGTAAGGTACAGGGAAAGAAATACTGGGTAGACATTTTGAGTGTGGCAAAGGTAGTTTTTCAAATTAGTAGCCAGGAAAACGTTTGTCCTCTTATTTCCTGTCAGGCAGACTGGGTGTGAGTCCATTTGCTTCCCGAAGATCAAATGATTTGGGGAGCATTTTGTAACATTCTGTTTGGCCTCTCCCTGGGTGCAGCATTCCCAGTTTGTTAGCTGTAGTGTTTGCACGGTGTTAAGAGGAGACACTATAGGACAGCGTCTCAGCCTTTTTGGCACCAGGGACCATTCGCTCCCTCGCTTGCTGCTCACCTCCTGCTGTGCATCCCTCCTGCTGTGCATCCAGGTTGCTAACAGGCCATGGAACGTACTTGTCTGTGGTCCAGGGGTTGGGGGCCCTTGCTGTAGGAGACAGACACACACATTTAAACTGGTGATTATAAACACTGTTTTCTGTCACTTACTTCCAGATTATGACAGTTTACTATCCCCCCTTGTGACAGAAAGCAGAGGCTCTGGATTCTAACTCATCACTTTCTAACATTTGCCAGTGGGCTCCGCCCGTGGGTTCTTTTCTAAATGCTCTTGTCAAACTGTGGGCTGGTTGGTTCTGCCCTTGGCTGTGTAGTGACTTCTTCTGCTTCCCAGTGTTCCAGGTCCTGGCACAGAGGGTGGGGAAAGGGCTTGACATTCTCGGCCTAACTTTAGCCTGGAGTCATTTCTCAGACATGAGGTGATGAACAAAATACCACCTTTGGAGGAAGATGAGCAAATTTGGCAAGGAAAGGAATGCAGGTCTGGGGCCTCCTAGCTCCAGGATTATGTAAATCATTCAGCACAAGTAAAGTCAAAGTTATGAAAGTAAATAATTTCCATTGCTACTACAGCTAATTAGTCTAAATGGTGACAGGGTATTCTGTAACTTCTCAGGAGGTAGCCCTGGAAGGCAGGCCCCAAAGGGAGAGTTTGAAACCTACCTCTGAGGTGTTATATGCAGGTAGCCAATATTTCTTGAGTTTGTACTGTCTTTCTGACATTATTCTACGTATTTGAGACATATTGACTCACTCACTTGAGGTCACTCTTTTAATTATTCTCTTTTTACAATGAGGAAATGGAGCCACAGGGAGGTTCAGTAATTTGCTCAATGTTGGCCGAAACTTTTAATGCTTGATTCTATGTGTAAGGAAACTGAACTGCTGAGAAAAAGCCTAGTATGGAAAAATATTTAGCTCATTCACTCAGCTAACTAGCAGGAACTCCCACTTGCTTTGTGTGCACAAGGAACCACTGCATCCTTTCCTGTGGGAGTGGGTTACAGCCCCTTTTTACAGATGAAGCCTTGATGCAAGGGGTTTGGGGAGAGCCTTTCCAGACCACTGCCTCTTGTTGGCTTGAAAGCCTGAAATTTGGGATGGTAGAACCCCCAATGGAGTCACAGAAGATGCTGAGCTATTTTTTATATTTCAAAGAGCCTAGCAAAAAAATTGTTTATTTAGGACCAATAAAACAATGTGGCTAATGAATGCATACAATTTTTTTTGTACTCGTCAAAGTTGAATATATCATGCTAATATAATAACTTAGTTATTTCATGTGGGTCAGACACTTTTCATGGCAATTATGTATTTTAAATCTTAAAAATGGGTAATTATTATTTAAATCTTAAAAATGGGTAATACAGATTAGATAAATCCTTCTAAACACAGTACCTGGGGTCTGGAGTGGAAGCAAGTTAGAAATGGACATTGGGGATGAAAAACTTAGCACCTAATGGTCTAGCAGGGGCATTCATCCGCGGCCTGTGGGCTGCATGTGGCTCAGGATGGCTATGAATGCTTCCTAACAGAAAATTGTAAATTTACTTAAAACATTATGACATTTTTTTGTGATTACATGTCACAATGTATTTAATGGGTAGCCCTGGAAAACTCCTCTTCTTCCAGTGTGGCCCATCCCTGATTTAGAGTATAAGAGAAATGTGTTGCTAATAGTCAACAGTTACAAGATACTTGAATGGATACAACACTTCTGTTCTGTGGGAAGGCATTGTGCTTCCAGGCTATTTATCTTCCTCTTCTACATTCTTAATCTGCTCTCTTTTGCAGACAACTGCTACTATTCTGACCAGGATCTCAGGGAACTTTACCAATGGAGTTTGCAAAATATAATTAGGGTGGTGAATTGTCTGCTACCCCCATACCTACCACCAAATGATGCATTTCAAAGACAAATAACGATGCCATTTTTCATCATCTGCTCTTTGATTTTCCAAGCCCCGGTCCATTAGAAGGAATTATTGAGCTTTAACTATTGAGCTTTAACCTACTATAGTTAACCATAGATAAACCACAGAGCCAATTGAATATTTTCAAAGTAATGAAATGAGGTGTACTCTGAGAAGCCTCCTTCCCCTGCTGCACCCTTACACTGTGTGCCTTACACTTGTTTTTCCACATGCAGGTCACCATTCTCACTTGTTCCTGTACATTGTGTATTTGTGCATATATAAGTAGTGAATAAGTACATACTGTGTTTTGTAGTATTTCATTCCCTCCATAACACAAAGTTGACATGGTCTACATATTTCTAAATCTATCTCCATTCATATATAATATCCGTATCATAGTATGTTTTCATAGCAGCATACAGGGAACATCCTCATTTTTAATGGCTGTGTCATATTCCATTGTGTGTATATATACATATAATGTGTATATGTGCACATATATGTGCACAGACATCATATGCTCTCTCTGATGGCCACTTGGGTTGTTTCTGGCCATTTGCTGTCACATGCAGCACTCGGGCCTGTCATGGCAGTGTGTCATGGTGCAGGTGTGCAGGTTCTCCAGGAACATCCCCTGAAGGGAACGTTGGGTCAAGGGTAAATGCATTTGAAATTTTAATAATGCTACCCAGTGGGTCTTTAGAGATCAGAGCCACACCAGCAGTAAATGAAAATGGCTGATTTCACATGGTCTCCTTAAAAGAGAGCGTCAGAAAACACTTTTACCTGTCTGACTAGTCAAAATTTGGAGGTTATAAAGTATATTTTTAATTTACATTTCTCCTATTTGGAAAGATTTAAAGGCCATTTTATTTATTTTGTCTATGAAATGTCTATTAATGTTCTTTGCTAGTTTTTCTGTTGGGTTGCTAATAATCTCCTTATTGAATTCTTATCAACTCTTTCCATATTAGTGAGATCATCCACTGGTTTGTCTATGCCATAAGTTCAAAATATTTTCCCAGGTTGTTATTTGTTTTCACCTTTGCTTATGGGTTTTTTTTTTTGGTCACATAGCAGTTATTGTTCTTGAATGTAATTGGATTTATCAAACTTTAATTGAAAACTTTCTGTGTTTTAAATCATAATTAGAAAGGCCTTTCTATACTCCAAGGAAGTCACTTAAATTTTCTTTTGGTACTTTTTCATAAACTTCTCCTTATGAAAAATTTTAAACATACACAAATTAGAGAAAATAGTATAATAAATCCCAGCTGCCCGTCATTTGGCTTTGATAATTAGGAATATGTTCTCAGTCTTCTTTTACCTGTTCTTCTATCCATTTTGAGAATATTTAAAGCAAACCTGGACATCATAGTACTTTCCTTACAAGTACATCAATATGTAGCAATGATATGTAGGGGCTGTTTAGAACATAACCACTATGTCATTATTACACCAAGAATTCCTTAAGATTATCTAATGCCATTCTGTGTTCATATTTTTTCTTCTGGGGCTTGTATGGCTTTGTTTTTTGTGAGTACAGTATGAGGTATGTGTTCAACCTTATTTTTTCCTGGCCACCCAGTTGTCCCAACTTAACTTTGTAAATGTATTCTTACTGTACTGGTTCGAGAAGCCACCTTTATCATATAATAAGTTGCCATGTGCATTTGAGTACTTCTGTACTTTCTGTTCTGTTCCATTTGTCTGTCTATTCATATGCTAGTATTATACTGTTTTAATTATTGGAGTATTAGGGAATGCTTTAATGTCTGTCAGGACTAGGCATTCCCCAAATGGGATAGTAAGTCATCTACTCCAACTCATGCTATATGAAAATGGCAGAAAATTAGAGTTTATAATCTGGCCTCCTTAAGTCAGAGATAGACCTAGTGATTTAGAATCAACAAGGAGCGGGAGCGAAAGTGTGAAAGTGAGCGTGGTTCCTAAAGGAAAGTAGCAGTAATAGCACACACTTCAGGAAAGTAA